CTGATGGTGTCATTATACTCATAATGAATATTGTAAAAGGAAGTAAAAGTAACTAGTTGGTCAAGTCTCTGTTGGCTTTCCAAGACCTCTGCTTCAAACTCGAAGGCAAAGGTTGCTCGTCATGAAGATTTTTAAACGATTTATTCAGTTCTACAAAGCACCTTGGAGCCCACTTTGGTTCATACTCATCTGATGTACGATATTTTTGTTCTTTTGTGTTTTTTTGTATTAGCAAAAAAAAGTATCTTTAGTGTAACATATTTAAAAGCAAAATATGCATCCAAAGTACTATTAAATTCATAAATATTTGTGACAGAATATGTTAATAATAATTCATTCAATATTGAGTATTATTAAATAACTTTTACCACCATGGAGTTGCCAGAGTATCAACCATTCGATGCCTTCATTTGATGAACATTTCTATCCCTGCTGTCATCTTTTTCTCTCTCTTCTTTTTGGTAAAACTTAATTTTTGTGTGCATTTTGTGGCACTTTTGCAGCGTCGAGTGCGAGGTGTAAAAATAATGGCACTTGGTTTTATTTGTATTCTCGGGGCCATAAAAATGCCATAAAATGGAAAGGAAGCGAAACGAAAGAGGCGGAAAGCCCAGCCCGTAGCCCGCACAATGCTGTGGCTTAAATTATGGCACTTTGCTTAGACACGACTTAAGCTTTTGGGCCAGGCCAACAAACACAATCGCACACTCCCCAGCACATTGGCAAACAAATCTGGCAGTTTAGGGCTGACCAAGCGACCACATAATTACACTTTGCACTTGCCCCAGTTCCCAGTTCCCAGTTCCCCCCTCCTACGTCCTACGCCCTACGCCCTACGCCCCGGGCCGATTCTCAGTGTGCACTGCCTTGCGGTCTGCCCAATGCCAATTATAAGCCTTGGAATTTAACAAATTAAGCCTCATTACACACGCATTCCCCCACCGTCAAATGCAGTTGACCACAATCCGGTGCAGCAACCGCTTGGGGGGCAATCCACCAGTCCACCAGTCCACCAGCCCAGTCCTCCTGTTGACACATGACCCACGACCCACCATCATCCACAGTCCCTAATCAGGCTACAAAAACCATTTTGCTTACTTGTGGTTGGCCAACCTAATTGCTCATAATTCAAATCGGAGCTGCCGGAACAACTCAAAGTCTGCCACCACCCTCGAACACATGCACATATGGGTACTCGGCCCCCACCTGACCTCTCACACAACCTGATTCCGCAGGAACTTAAAAGTTATAATTAAAAAAATTGCATACGTATTTTGCGTGTAACAAGCAATTTATAATTACTAATAGGTGTATGGGTGGGGCCCGCCGACAGCCAATAAAGGTTGGGAAAACGATTATTCAATTATAAAATATTGATGGAAGGATGCAAGTGGAAGTGGAAACTCCGAGCACTTTCGTTCCGATTGAAGGAGTGACTAAGTTGTAGAACTTTTCTGGATCTTCATGTTCTTGGCAGCTCCATTTACATTCGTAATAATTATGAAAAGAAATTCCCAGAATGAAGTCCAAAGTATAAACTCGTATTTAAGTTTGTAAAACAGTTCTCGAATAATGTTGGCAAATTAATCTTTATTGCGAGTGGGAGTGGCAGAGGCCCAAGTCAGTCGTTGGAGTGGCCTTAAAGTGCATTCAGTTTAGAAATCCCTCAACTAAATCAAAGTTAAACATTTTATTAGCTTACCCCGGCGGAGTCACAAAGCAACTTTCAATTAAATAGCTCGCTGCCATCGCCTTCTGCCTCTGCTTTGCTCTCTCTCCCCTGGCCAGTGAATGTGTATGAACAGTACTCGACGCAGTCCAACTCCTTGCGGATTTAGAGACGTCAAACAAAAGAGCGCCAGACCAGACCAGCTCAGGCCCGAACAGACCTCAGACCTCAGACCCCAGCCGTGCCGTGCCGTGCTGTTCTGTGGGGAGACGGAGACCCAGCCAGGCCATGAATTCATTTTAAAAAATTGCAGCTAGAAAACAAAAGAAGCTGCCATTGTGCAATTAAAATTGTATGGCTCTGGGGAGTCCGAGTGGAAGGAGCACAGCTCGAAAGGAATTGGAACGGGAGCTCGGGCTGAGACTGCCTGCCGATAAGAGAAATTAAAACAAACAGACGCCACACGCCCTGTAACTGGACAATCTGCACAATTTCCAAAGTGACACAGTGCAAAGCAAATACACCCGCACCGAAGGTTCAATCCATGTCCATGTTCATGTCCGGAAAGTGGTTCGGGTTCGGGTTCGGATTCGAGGTCCGAGGTCTGGGGGTTCTGGCCCTTGGCGCATCTACAGCTGGCCGTGTTTACGGGTATATCATGACAGTTTTCTTCTTGTTACTTATTTCTTTTCTTTCTCGATTTTTCCTACCCCCATTTCCACTTATTTTACTGGCCTCCCCCTCGTGTGCTTAAGTTGTCACAAGTTGTCGGGTCCAGTTTGGTTCTTCTCCGTTCGGTTCGGTTCGGTTGCTTTGGTTTGGTTTGGTTTGGTTGGGCTTGGTCTCTGGTCTGGCTTCTCCCCTGGGGGCAGCTGCACTTGTCGTGTGGCTTGAGTCCCCAATGATATCGCATAAGTTTTTCAATTTTGTGCGTTATTAGAAGCGATTAGAGCAAGATGCTGGAAGGAGCAAGGAGCAAGGATATAAACACTCCACACCAATTGACAGCTGGCTAAATTTGCTGTGAATGTAAAGTTTTTTACATTACTGTGCGGATATTACAAGTTCTCACATGCTGCAAATTAGGAATGGCGGCTTAAGCTGCTGACAACGAGTAACTCGTAGAGTAAAAAAAATATTTTCTACGCCACTACATCAACTGCGTTAATTAATGGGCTCCTCTGTTCGCTGTGTCTGCGTATCTCAAGTTTGTAATTCCTTGCATAATATATAGGGACTCTCTTTTGGCTCCTTAATGACCAGCTCTTAACATTTTGTCTAATCCCACGACAAATGTTCGTAGCAGCTTCGTCCCACGCTTCGGATGCGTGTCATAAACAGCCATTGCCACAGCCACAGGCCCAAGATAAAAGACCACAAAAATTAAACAGCAGCCAGCCGGAAGTCTAGCCCCAAACACGGACCCGGACAAGGCTGCGAAAAAGGCAAAATAAAAGATTACGCCATAAACACATTTATCTGACCCCGAGACATAAAAACCTGCGCCCTCGATAACATTTTATAACTCGGCCAAGTGCCATAACCAAGTGGAATGTGCCAGTCGAGTCGAGTCGCAAACAAGGAAGCAACTCCCTACGAAATCAGCCTCCTCGGACCATTTCCACTAATGAATTAAAGCCGCAGCTAGTAAAAGTTAACAACATTTTCACTTGCCCTCCGATAAGCCACAGCCACAGCCACCCAACCAAACCCAAAACCAAAGCCAAAGCAAAACGGAAAACAGGAAAAGCCAAAACAAAACCTTAATGAGACATAAAAAATGTTTATGCCCATGGAAAACTAAAAGCAAAACAACAAACGTTATGCAAAAATAACTTGAAATCATTTTAGGTTTATGGCATCCATCACGTATGTATGTATGTATGTACACACGAACACACATCTATCTGTACATACATACATATATTTTTTTCGGCACATAAATAAAATTTGCCATGCAAAATGGTGAAGTGTAGGGACTGAGTGTACGAGTAAAGAATAAACAGAAGGAGACAGAAGATAGTAATTTAATTGATGGTCCTGGAGGAAATCCAGATCATGAGACGAGGGAACCAAAACAGCAACATAAATATGGGGGAGGTACAAGCAGTTAGTACAGACGTAGAGATACCCTTTGATACAGTAAATAATGATATTTTATATACATTTAAAACAGCATAACAAAGTGTTGCCATTTCCTACACTTAGTGCAAAGAAAAGCAAACCCAAATTGTCTCTTCTTTCTTTCCAAACCAGATTACCCCGCACTGCACATTCCTAACATCTAAAAACACCAAAATAGTAAAAACAAACACCAACTAGGGGAAAGAATAAACAGCTGGAGAAACCAAAAAACAAAAAAAGTGTTAATGAACAAAATAATGAGTTCCAGTGTCGGAGTTTTGGGCCACAAAACATTTTATGACACTAACAGCAAAATACCATGGGGACAGCTCTCGGGACATGCAACCCAGTCCGGCAGACCAACACAAGCGAAGTTGCCCCTGCACACACCTCGTATATGCCACAACCACGCTCAGCCACAGAGCCAGCGAGACACAGAGAGCCACAGAGACAGGGAGAGTGGGGGCACCGAGGCGTTGGGCATGGGCTAGGAGTAAGAGTCGCCGCATGAAGCAATAAATAATCACCAAAGTTTCGTTGAATCGAATTATCACCCCCTGAGGTGCAGTTCCGTAATGAATTTGTTTTGGGGTTTTTCTTCGCTCGGCATTTAGTTTCATTATGCTTTGCTTTGGGTCCACGTTCTGCATCCACGACATCTGAGATTCTGCGACTGCGTGACCCAACTTCACCGAGGCCATTCCCGCCGTATTATCCTCGGTTTTCAGTTTGGTTTTCGGTATGGTTTATTTGGTCTGGTGCCGAGCTGCCGGCCGGGCCCCCGCTTTGTTTGTTGGTTGTTAGTTGTTTGGCTTTGGTGTTCTACTTTTTTCCTTTTGTAGGTCTGCAAAGCTGCGGGAGCAAATTCATTTGATTTGATGTACGAGTCCGTGTACGTGTACGTACGGACATGCTGTCACTCTTCCATTTATTTGCATTGAGGTTTTCCGATTTGCTGCTGCTGTTTGTTGTTGTCGCTTGATTTCGACCATGTCCCCAATTACAATTGGCAGCTGCAATGCAAAAAAGCAGAACTCTACATCTAGAATGGAATTTCAATTTTAAATTGGAAGTTGTCAATGTGCTAGACTTAGCGGGAGATCACACATGACCTGATATTGAATATTTCGCGTGTTTTTTAAACGTTTGTTTTTGAAATTACAATAGAACAGTACAATCTGTAATATGATACCTAATATTCAATAAATTACACTGGTCAGAGACATGTTTATTCATATTTAAGGCAATTTACATTAGAGGTAAATTTAGTTAAGTTTTCCATTTAGACAATTACTTTTTAGAATTTTCTTACTGCTATACAAAAATTGCACTCAAATGACTAGATGCTTTCCTGAACGAGTACAGTTGCAGAAGTAACTTCTATCTCTCCTGATTAATGTCAATCGTATAGAAGCGCAATGTGCCAATTCGACTGGTAAAACAGCAGATATATGGCACTGTCAAAATGAAACACATTTGCGTGCGCGTGCCACCCTTGATGGGAAATTCATTGCCGGTTCTCTCGCCATAAGCAGCTGCAATATGAAAAATGCAATTAGAAAATGTTTCTGTATACTTGAAGGTTGTTTTGGTACTTGCCACGTATCTGCGAGAGTGTGATTGACCGCTCTGGAGAGTCACATTCAGAGTTCTTGAAAATGCCACGCAGGTCATTTTGGATGGTGGGATTCTTCCTCAAGACTCGACTGAAATGATCATCCATTGTAGCCATGATTTTGTAAGATTTTATATTTGTATATTTATTTATAAATAGTGCTTATGAAGAGCTATGTTGATAGACAAGCGAACGCTCCAATCAGCCGGTGCATTCTAAATTTGGAAAACCAGACATCGACCACCGACCCAAAAAAACAAAAAACAAACAAATGTGGAAACGAAAACCGGTTATCATCATATGCGCGCCCTTCCTCTCTTTTTCCCTCTCTCTCTCTCGCTCTTTCTTTCTCTCTTTCTTGCTCCAATGTTGCACTCCCTTTGATCGTTCTTATTTTGGTGGTGGAAAACTCATGCAACCAAATATAAAAGTGTATACTTTTTTCAGAATGTTCAGAGCGGAATGTACTGTAGACCTTCAATAATAAAACAAACATTTGATGCAAAGCTAACTAAGGAACAGTGATCATACATACATACATATGTGGAATTCTGTATGATAAGTTAAGTCAAAATCGCTTACCTCTCTCTCTCTGTCTTGTCAACATTAGAAGGTTAAAAGAATATGACCCTCTGCAAGTGTATACCTTACTCGTAAAAAGAAGGAAGCCGGCACACTTCTGAGCGAATATTTAGCAAATTATTTTCTATACATTTTTAATGTGCAAGAACCCTTCCACAGTACCCTTTTGTTGCGGTGCACAACTTGGTGTAGCCATATACAAAGACTTTGCTATACTTTTTGTGACTGTCCCGAGGCGGGAAAAAGTAACAAAGTCAACAGCAAACTGTGGAAAATGCTGGAGAAAACAAGGAAAATGGCTTCACACGAAAAAGTTGTGGTGATTTTCACACTTGCGGCAAGCGAAGTAAGAAAATAATTACAAACTTCAGGACAGGAGAGCAACAATAAAGTATTAAATTCAAATTATTTACTTCACTTTATTTTCCACGGCAGCACAAAAGCGCCACTGAGGAACGGCACCAAGAAACCAGAAGAAGTAAAAGGCAGAAATATACGAAGCCAAAAGCTACTTCTCCAAGTCATTTTAATTTAAGTTGTGCAACATTTCAACACTTTATCAAATAAATTCAGGATGGCCCAAGGTAGTGAAAGAAGTGCAAAGACCATGGAGTTAGTTTTACAGAGACAGAGAAAGTAAAGGAAGTTCGCTGAAATTTTTAAAGTTTCAACTATGCAAATGGCCTGAACATATTTTGCATTTTGTTAATAAATTGTAAATTCAAATTAGCAATTGTCACTGGCCTATGGCAGCGTACAGAAATTTCGATGCTTAAGACTCTCCAATAAAATAGCAACAAATAAGCATCAGATTCTAGATTTGAGATAAAATGCTGCAGTTGAAGCTCTAAACAAAATATTAACACATTTATTTAAAATTTCCACTGGCAATTTTGATTTGGTTAGAAAGTCTTCTATTGGCTTAAATTTATAAAAGAATTTGTATAACATTATTTGCAGCTTATAAGCGCTGCCAAGCCCCAGCCTCATCACAATTTGAAGCTCATTAAAACATATTCTCCGCCAAAAAGGGGAGCTAACTTACCATCAAAATGCGAGCGCTGCCACCAGCTCCCAATCCGACGCCCACTCCCATCTCGTGTGTCTGCATTGTGCATTTTGTGTGGATAAAAAAATGTGTGTGCAACGAAAATGAAATTTGCAACGGAAGTTATTTCACGCTTTGGAGAGCGCGCCCCGTGCTGGATCCGGCTCCAGCTACTGCCACTGCTACAACGGCTCTGTGCCACGTCAAAACTACTCGTAACTAACGAAGTAACGAGCGGGGGCGTGACGGGTAGGGGCGGAAGGAGTTGGCAGTTGCAGGAATTAAGCAGCATAACATGCTGTCAGGGTATGAGTGCCACATGTGTATCTGGGTGTCTTCGTAATTGGTTTCAAGTTGCAGCAAAAACAGGGCAACAGCATAGACACCGACACCGCTGCAACAAGTTTAATTAACATAAAATATGAAAAAGGGAGTAAAAATTAAGTAAATTGAAAATCGCTTCCCAGAAAATATGAATTTATTGTTGCATGCTTTCAAGAGCGTTCTCTGCAATAAAATGTGTTGGCTTACAAACATTTGTAGTCCAATTGAATTTTACCACTCTTTTTTAAATGCAAGTTACCATGTTCAGCACTGGAAAGATGGGCACGAGGTAATACCAGGTGTTGAGCTAAGAAGTAGGCTTTACGTCCAGGCAGTAGGAACAGTTGTTAAAAGTCTAATGCAAGTGCCATGCTTTAAAGTAGATTGTGTTAAACTTATATATCAATTTTAGTTCAATAATCTGGATCAGGTTTATCCTGCAGCTCTCGACCATAACCAGAAAACCATCGAAGCAAAGTTTGAACAACAAAAATCCCTGAAACTGAAGCCAAACTTTCATCAGCAGCTCAGGCGGCAGCTCCGGCTGCTGCTGAAACGTGTAGACTCATTTATTAATTCCATTCCATTTGTGTTCTTGATTTACGCCCTCACATAAATATCGTAATAAATGGAGCTGTTGAAGGATATTGCTTTGCCGGACCCCCAACCTGGGCCACCTCAACCAACGCACACACACATGTGGCCTGGCCCAGCTACGCAAAACCATTTGGCCAGCTGAGCAGAAATTTCCTATTTTGCATTAATAAATGCAATTTCTCAAGCAACATTTTTTGGGTCAAGCATTTTGCTACGATTTCGATTTATTCCGAAATTGAGTTGAGAGGCAAAATTTGCTGAAGTAAACATGGATACAAATAAATGAAGCTGAAGTTTCTGATTGAAATTATTCGAGGAAAATATTATGAAATTTTTGTGTAGAACTTTGCTGGGTTTGTGCAAAATTGTATGCTTAAAAATTCTATTGATATTTGTATACTCTATGAAAGGATTATTGAATGCTTTATCGAACAGCATTTCTTGTAAGTTAAATTAGCTGCCATAGAAGCGAGGAATACTCCAGGGTATTCCAAAAGGTATCCAAAGGGAAGTATATTGGTAATTTATGGGGTAGATTTCAGTGATGATTTTTGTTCATGCTTTTGTGATTTACACTTCTCCGTGAGCTCGTTTACAGTGCAAACATTTCTTCTCCTCACATTTCTTAGCAGTTTATTATAATATGTCCGTCTTTTAATACTCGTACATATACAAACATCTCTCTATTTGCCAAACACTTTTTGAATTGCTGTTTTGAAACTTTTGCCAAATTCCTAAAATGTCTAATGTCAGGCAAAAAGTTTCCTTGAAGCAAGTTTATCAATTAACGAGACAAACGGCTGTCGAGTGCAGGATGAAAATTGTGTCTAGGCTGCAATATTTGTGCGACATCCAAGATGCTTAATTGAGTGCACACACACACATTTGAAGCTGAGACACTAATGCACTCCACACAGAAACATGCACAGACAGAGACAAAAGCTCACACATTTCCACACCTGGCTGGCCTTGGAGAGGAGGCTTCAAATGTTTTGGGGTTAGCATTTCTCCTCAATATACATGCAACCCGCAGCTGTCCTCCTTTTGGGTGTGCAATCAATTTCAACTAAATACCGTCTTCATGCATAATTGCTTGCCATTGTCTGAGTATACAAGTGTGCATGTGTGCGTGTTTGACTCGAGTGTGCAGCAGCCACATTGCGTATACTTATCGAGCGTGCTTAATATGGCAATTAAAAGATGAGTCCAATTAAGGGGAACTGTGCTGTGTACTGCGTAATCATTGCACAATATCGCCTTGTTGTGCAGAAATCGCATTAGCATCAGAGTCCTTTTAATTGGCATAATAAACTAGAATTGTTGGGCCAAGACGATTCTGGCACTAGCCCAAATCGAGATCCAATCAAAGCTATTGAAAAATTATTGAGAATTGGACCAGTTTTCTTTCAAAAAAGTCCAAGAAAGTAGGCAAACACGTCGGGGAAGGCCCAGTTGCATTTGTAATCCAGTCAACAAAAATGTAACATTTTAATGAACAATTTATTGAAAACAGCCGTTTAATTGTCCCATAAATTTCGTATTCTAGAATGCCTCAACTCTGTTAACCACTTGGCTAAATAATGTAATGCCCGGCCATAATCTATAATTAAATCGTGTAAACTGTCGCAGGCGTTTATGCGGCTGCATTAATATTAATTGCTAATATTTAGAGCTTTTAAATTGCTTAATTAAATTGCCACTTGAACAACAAAAGGAAATTACTGCTGCAGTGCGTGTTTGACCATGTTTCCCGGCTACTAATATTTGTTGCACTCCCTCCGAGTAGTATAAAAAATAATTAACCCACCACAAACAATTAATCAGAGAATGTTGGGCTACAAGCTTGGTTCCATTGACCCAGCACCAGCGACAATTTGCATAAATTAAACAAACTAAAAATGCCATACACATAATTAGAAATGTGATACCAGGCCGCCGTGGATAATTTCAAATTGATTTATGCAAATTACAAAACCACTAAATTTACAGGGGAAAATTAAAGGGAGTTGGTTACAGCAGGCAGCCTCGAATTACATACACGGTACATTAATTGTGCTCTAGGCTTTGCCTCGATATGCCAGGGAGATGCAAACGGCAGAACATGTACTCCTGATAGCTGCTGAAAGAAGGCCTGAGAGAAGCAGCCTCTCCTGGTAATATGTTTTCCACACTTAACCTGAAGTATTTTTTCTTTTTCACGATTTTTAGATGGGCTACAAGTACAACATACCCTTTGGACTCCACGAATACCGAGTATAAAATATCAGCCGAGCCTTCATCAGTGGCTGCCCAACAAGTATTGAGTAAATAAATTAAAACAAATACATATACATTTGAGTACAACTTATTTGCATGTAATATTTGTCGAGCATTTTTGTCGCTGCAGCTATTTGTCCCAACTAAATATTTATTCATGTTCATGTCGAGGGTCCTGCTCCTGTCAATGTCCCTGTCTATGCATGTTTATATCCATATTCATATCAATGTTCGTGTGTCGTGTGGCCTGCCCATGTTCGGGAGAATGGAAACGTTTAGTTTCGTGGGCAAAGTGCAACCAAGTGCAAAACCAAATCAACCAAAATGTGCGTAATAAATATTAATTTTATTTTTTGTTCTCCCTTCATGATGCACTGCACCCTCTTTGCGGTATTGGTGTGCTAAATTTCATCTGCATATATCTGTTAATTTATGCATGAAAATTGTTGGCATAAATGATTCCTCTACTATATTAGAAAAATTAAAATATGCAGAAGTAAGCGGCCGGCCGAGACAGTTGTTGCATAAAATATAGTCAAATGTTATGGTAAAATATTCGCAGGGGGTACGATATAGTGTTCCGATTTGGATCAGATTTGAAATATTGATGGATAGGATGGTTTCATTCATAATTTATTTATACAAAAGTCAGATTCTACCATT